GGGATTTAGAAGCAAAGAGCAATCCTATATGCTTCTAAACCTTAAAAGTTTACACGAGCTCTTCCTCCTAACAAATTACTGAGACCCACGGAAAAGCTTTAGATATCACAGGTTAAAACCAACTGTTCTTTTTCATACCGTATGTTACCTAGAGAGACCCTATTCTTAAAATATCAGTCCTGTAGTGACAATGTTACATGCACAGCAAAACCCTTGGAGGCCAAATCAAGACACCACTTGCATAATTCAGTGGTGGTGAAGTGGGAGAAAGTTTGTGATGGCTTTGTCTGTGGTCTGCCTTTGAGAGATAAATACTTGGCGTGTCCTCATAGGTGTGTCCACTGTAAGGACTCTGAGGGTTGAGAACCACGTTCATCCCACTCACAAGAGGGAGAGGAGCCCTGGGAACGTACCGATGGCCGGCCCTCCTTGCCTCTTCTCTTCCAGGATGGAGGCCAGGTCTTTGGGCTCAGATTTATGCTGCTGACCAGCTGGTGGCTGCTCCAACTCTGGACTTTTCACTTTTAAAAGTTGATTTGCTTTCTTGATCTTCTGACTGTACTGCCTTGCCATCATGAAAACCCTGCTTTTTGTCTTATCTGTGCCATCCATCCCAGGGTCAGGGTTTTCGAGGTCTGTTTGAGACAGACTGGTGTTGGCCAAGTCATAGGGACTGTCCGTGGGAGGCATTTCACAGGCCAGAGAGAGCCGGTGAAGACTCAAGAGGGAGCCTTCTTTGGAAATCAGGTCTTCTTTGAATGGGCAGCTGGGCCGGCCAGCTCTGATGGCCCCGCTTCTCACGGGCGCGAGGAAGGGCTGGCTCTCAGACAGGGACAGCGTGGACGTGCACCGTGCCGCATCCCTGCTCAGCTCAGGGGTGCTCTGGGCATGCACCCTGTCTGGCACGTCATCTCTGCTCACGGGAAATGCCGCGAGGAGACGGTCTCTAGCTTTGTCTTCATTTTTCTTGATATAATTTTCCAGGTCATTCCAGATTTCATCTACTTCTTCAGATAGTTTATCAGATACAGTGTCATCAGCTAAGGACAAGTTACAGCTGGAGGAGCCGTACAGCAAGCTCAGATAATCATGCTCAGGGGCACTGGGAGGGTACGGAGTTTCGTCCTCGCTAAACTGGAGGCTATCCTGGGACACAAAGGGCCTCAGACTGTCACAGCATGCAAAGTCGGCTTCCAGCCCCAGAAAGGTGCTCCTCTTTGAACGCTTGAGGCTGCTGCATTTGAAATCCTGTGGTGGTGGATCTGGGAGCCCAATAGTGTCATAGATGTTTTCCTCGACCACCTGGAGTTCATGTGTGCTTTGGTTCAAGGCCTCTCGACCTGTGAAAGTGCCATCTCGTTTCGTGTGAAGTGAGCTCTTAGTGTGGCCAGCCTGCCTCTTTGAGAAGGCTAACTCTGGGGTACTCTTGGGGCGAACAGAGTCCCTGGCTGATTTGGGGGGAGTGGATTCTGCTTCTTGCTGTTTAGCCACCATTAGTTTTAAGTCCTCATAACTTATGTTATCGTAGACATGGTCTATGTCATCAATAGTCAACTCTATAGATGACCCAAAAGGAGTCATCCCTTCCTGCTCCTCTGTTTTAAGGCTGTTCTGCAGTTCCCTTTGGGGACTATACTGAGAGCCATCGCTGTCCCTAATTCTTATGTCAGGGGGGCACGTGTTACTCTCGCCGGCACTGCTGGCACGCCTGACAATCCTGTGGCCAGAGCTGGAGGTCTCTGTGGACTCGATCTGTCCCATATGCCAGCTGCAAGGGCGACTGGAAGTGCTATCGTCACACAGTCGGGTAGAGTTCAAATCTGAGGAGGAAAAGGACGGCACGAACATCTGATAATCATCTTCATCCTCATTCTCCTGCGGTGACCGTCGGCTGGGAAACAAGGCTTGTCTAATCTGGTGATCAGTCCAGATGTTTCTGATAGCTCCACCCCCACGAAGCACGCTGATAATGGCAGAACTGCTCGGCTGACTGTTCCTCTGGGCAGGAGATGGCCCTGCTGAAGTCAGCTGGGGAGATCCTTCCTCTCTAGACACCTGAGGAAGACAGAAACATGTCAGTTGAATTACAGCACCATGGAGGAGATCAATAACTTAAGGATTTCTCCACTGCCTCTGCCATTAGACTGTAACATGAGGGTACTTCAAAAGTTCATGGAAAGATTCATATTATTTTAAATTCCATTTTCCACAAACGTTTTGAAGTACCTTTGTATTCTTAAAGAAAATGATCAGTAGTCATTGTTGATTTTAATTGAGTTGATATTTATTTAGGACTTAGGCTAGACAATGTGCAGTCATTCTCCAAATTTAATATTCACACTCTATGAATCATATATGATTCTACCAATTTCACAGTAAGGAAATCTAGGCTCCTAAAGATTCAGTAACTTGCTCTACCTAGTCAGTAGTAAGGCTGGGACTCAAACCCAGGTCTGACTCTAAAACCCTTGCCTCAGAGCAAGGTATCAGCTCAATGTAGGAAACTCTTAGATACTTCAAATAAATCTGCTGTGTACTTGAAAAATAATTCATTGTATAAATGAATATGTATAGGTGTCAATTGCCATAATACCTGGCTTCTATTTGAGACTTTCTAAGGAGCCTTAGGCCCAGTGCTTGACTCCTAGGAGTCTTATATTGGTTTCCGGTATACCAGAAGCCCCTGCCAGTGACCTGACTGCACACTCCAAGGGTTTCCCTTAAACCTGCAGATCCACCATGAATCTGACCAGCAGTACCTTGGCGTATAGATTCTAGGCAAAAGAGCCTTTGTTGCAGGAATGTAATTTAATCCACTGTTGAGCTAGTAATATTTTTACTTCCTATCAAAATACATTTAATTAACATTTAGGTGCCTTTTAGGAAGTAAAATCTGAATGACATTAATGATTTCTAATCAAAGGAAACAGTGGGGTCTTTTATAATTGGGGACCCTTTTTTTAAAAAAAAAAGATGACCAGTGAGGGGATCTTGACTCTTGGCTTGGTGTTGTCAGCACCATGCTCTCCCCCAAGTGAGCCAACCGGCCAACCCTATATAGGGATCTGAACCCATGGCCTTGGTATTATCAGCACCACACTCTCCCAAGTGAGCCACAGGCTGGCTCTCTGGGGACCCTTTTTTTTTTTTTTTTTTCCGTGTCCGGCAACAGATCACAACCCTCAGTGTCGCGCCCGTACCGGACCGGGACCGGCAATGGGATCGCAACCCTTGGTGCTGCGCCCGCACCTCGCTCAGCCAGTGAGCGGGAACCGGTCTGTATGTGGGATCCGAACCCTTGGCAGGAGTGCCGACGCACTCCCAAGCGGCGCACTGTAGCAGTGCGCCACCAGGCCGGCCCTGGGGACCCTTTTTGATGGAGCTCAATTGGGCAAAAAGGAGTGGATCACCTTTTGATACTACTCTTAGGTAGAAGGATTAGCTTCAAAGAGTTAAAAGGTTAAGACCTATTCAAACTAATTAGTACCAGGGACATATTTTCCAATGAAAACACTATAATAGTAACCTATGGGAAGTGTCAAATTAGCAAGAACTTTTCATTACATGTCAACAACACTGGGATATTATTTACCAGGGAAGTAAGAGGAATAGTGAAAGACAGAATAAAATTTCATCCTAAATGCTATTTTTCTTTTAAAACTTAAAAAATTCAATTATTTCATGTTTTGTTCTCTATTTCACACAAATGTTTATACATAATTATACAATATTTATTGCCTTATATATCTTTTTTCCCCACCCTTTAGTATCTCTTCCTTTTCATCTTGCACATACTGCACTGGTATAATGTCTATAAAAATATAAACACCCAGTAACTACTTCTTATACAGTAAAATAAGTTAATGAAGGTAATTAAATTATGACAAATAATTTGAAAGTGGAACAAAATGATTTTGTGTTTCTCACAATAGCCAAAAGTAATCCTTAAGATCTTTCATCCCAGAAAATTCCCAGATGTTTTAGAAGAACAGAAAACCTGAATTGTTAATATTGAAATATATTTTAAGGTAATTATACTTGAGAAAAAGATAGTACTTTGGAAGCTAAAAATTTATATCAGATAAATCATTAGGAGAACTGAAGAAGCTCTCAGATTGAGAAATAACCGGTATATGATTGGTCACAACACAGAAATATGTAATTTAGATATCTCAATTTTACCGGAGCCACAATGAACTTTTTTCCCCTGTTTTTCCACATTCTCAGTGTTATGGCTATTTACTATGATAACACTATCATTTATGGAACACTTGTAATAAGTGTTAAAATACTGTACTAAGCACTTTAAAGAATACATATTATCACATTTCCCCCCCTGAAACATATAGGAAAGGTGAGTGGCAGCTGAAGTATTGTGGTATTTAATCTTTATAACAATTCTGTAAATTAGGAAACAAAGTCCTGGTAAGGTTAAGCCACTTACTTGTCTATAGTCATACAGTGTATGGCAGAGATGGGTTTGATCCATGTCTTAATCCAGCTCATTTCATGAGCTTAACCACTACACACACACACAGCCTCAAGAATATATATTCTAGGAGAAACACTGAGCTATTATTAAGGACTACAGATGGTCCTGACCTACAGTGGTTCAACTTAATGATTTTCAAATTTACGATGGTGTTGAAGCAATACTCCAGTACACGCCTCGACTTACAATGGGGTTTACGTCCTGCTAGACCCATTATTTGAACTTACGATGGGTTTATCAGGATGTAACAGCATCGTAAGCCCATGAGCATCTGTATCTCCTATTATAAACTCTTTAATCATCAGTAAATCTGCTCTCCTCACAATTAGTATACATTTAGCACATATACTATTAGGAGACAGAATTTTACCACTAAAAAAAGCACATCGGTGTTTTCTTTCTTTCCTGTCTTCAGATTTCATAAGGCTTGGCCAGTCCCCATATGGACATGGCTTGTGCACTGTTGAAGAAAGTGTCTAAGCAGCTCTTGAGATTGTATCTCTAGAACACACAGTACTGAGGGGAGGTTGGCTCCACAATCCTAGCCTGACTGCCTGAAAGAACAGGGTGACTTCCATAGCGATCCCATTTATGAAAACAAAGTAGATTAAAAAATCAAAACCTCATGCCATATTTCAGGATAAGGAACCAATTAATGTTAATAAGTTTCAAAAATTTCCAAACAAAATATGTACTACCTGAAAAAGAGTACTTGCCCTAAGCCATGAAAATCACTTAAAGCCAAGACTATGTTTATTTTTAAACAGCTTAGTGGTTTTAAGTCATGGTGCAAATGAAATTGTGGAGAGATTTTCATAGCCACATCCGTATAGATACAGAACATTACACAAGAAGCCATGGTCAGTTCTCTAGGAATTATTAATTTAGCCAACTGACCAGTAGCCATATTGGACAAACCTCTGAGGTCGAGATAAGATACCTACTCTTCATAGGTAATAAATTTGGATATATATCTTCCAGTAGAGCATACCATTCTTAGCCTGCCCCCAACCTTTTATCAGGGGAAGAAAAGTTAAAATTTGATATAGCGAAGTTCATTCTCTCACATATCATAGATCTCATATACCAGCAAGAGGGCCATGTTCTTGAAAGGGGAATCCTCCTCCAGGTGACTGAGGGTAATGCTTTGAGAAGGGAGTTACATCCAGAGTCCAGGGCCTTGGTCTTATATGGGCAGAGGCACATGAGGACGGGAGGCGGGTCACACCAGCGCCGTGCAGGTATCATACCCTAAGGTAAGGCTATGGCCCTGAGGTGACATGTGGGGCAGAGGGATGAATCAATCATTGCCTTAGTTCTAAGGGCTGGAAGGCGGGTTGCAGGGGGGCAAATTCATTAAACCAAATGGAAATAATTCAAAATGTAAAATATAAAATTTCCAAAATGTAAGATATTGTTTACACTTGGAATACGGGCTGGGAATGAGATACGCAAGGAAAGGGCACCTTTGGAGCTGCCTAATTAGACATCTCAAGATAAGAATGTGATGGTGCTTACCTTTTGGATGTCTTGGGCTGTTCCTGAAAAATAGAAGTTTATTTTATCAAGCTTGAGAATTCAAAATGTAGCTCATATATAGGTAAACACTAATATTTTATAGGACTTATAAACTTCTTGGTAATAATTGAAGCCCAAATGAGTTCTGGGCCCTTTAGACCTAATTTTCAGAAAATGCCTCTCAATTATCCCAGTTGTGTATCCTCTACTGTACATAAAACCACCTTACGTGCGCCTGCAGGTTAAGTATCTTCCCAATCCCTTAGAGCAATGAATTACTTCATGTTGTTAAGTTTCCAAAGCTTCCAAATAAAAATATGTATTACCTGAAAAAAATCCACATGCCTTAAAGCCATGAAAGTCATGTAAAGATAAGACTTTACTTGTGTTGATTTTTAGACATTTTATTGGTTTTAATTGAAAGATACAGGCTTTATCAGTAGGGCTGCCTTGGCCCTGTGCCTAGTAGTCTTGCAGGTGGAATTGTGGGGAGAGATTTACATAGCCACGTTCTCACAGACACTCTTACAGATACCCTGATTACATGTGTCTCATCTTTAAAACTGTTTCGTTATAGAAACATATAAAGTACTTCCTTCCCCACAAATCCCGCTCCCTAGAGGTAACCACAGTAAACAGCTTAATGTTCATCTTTACAGGTCCTGCACTGCCCCCACCCTACCACAATTTTTTTCTTTATTTTTTTTTTTAATAGAGATGCAATATGCAACATTGAATCCATGTTATTATGCATTTGGCAAAATCCACAGAACTGTGCAATATAAAGAGGGAATCCTAATGTAAAACTGAATTAATAATAATATATCAAATACTGACACATTTAATTGCAACAATTGCACCATGCTAGTGTAACGTCAGCAATAGGAGAAACTGCATGGGGGGTGGTATGGGAACTCTGTACTTTCAACTCAATTTCTCTCTAAAACGAAAACCACTAAAAAATAAAGAAAAAAGAAGAAAAAAAATCTTTCTGCAGTCAAATTATCAAATTTGTCAATCTATAATTCATCTTGGTATTTATTTTTAGTGTATG